AAGAGTAAACATTCTTTGAATTAGTTAATTAACCTGCATTCATTTAGGCAAGAATCATTTCAAATGCATTTACCCAGAATTGACAATAAGTAATCAACTTTAACCATAATTATCTGAAAAAATTTTCAAATCTACTTAGCTCCTTTTGATTCTAACCCCTTCAAATTGCAATCTAGCGAAAATTGTGCGCGCAAAGTGAAATTTGTTTTTGAGGCGATGTGGCTTGTGTAGTCTTTGATGGAAAAATGTTCGCCACCAGCAATTTGTCAGCAAGCTGGTTGGAATTTACGCAAATCACAAAATTGAATTTTATGAATGTTTGATGGGCTGGAAGTTAAAAAGGATAAAATAAGACTTAACTTGTAAGAAGTAAGTAATTATTCCTTTTGTCCTGTGCCAGACAACCAGTAGCCTCACGAGCCTATGTGTACTATGTATGTATGTGTACTATGTGTGCGTGTGTATTTGCCTGGCACTGCTTTAGTCAATAAACTGTGTCAGGATAACACTTTATGATCAGTTTTTTAAGGTTTGCAATTTTACACTTTTGAATGTAAAAAAAATTCTATGTCTATAGGTGGCCTCAGGCATAGCGATACTACCGGTGCGATACGATATCGTATTCGATGCGATAACGATAAAAAGCAAAGGCCCTCACACAGGTGCGATACGGTACACTGCGGTGCTTCATCTTTCTTATGGCAATCTTTATATTCCGAATACTTCAAATCATCTATTTGAGGCCACCTTAACTCGCAAGTTCTGCAAATTTTCTGTTCGCTACTATTCTGGGTATTTTTTGCCTTTGAAAGGAAATTTTAAGCGTACGTACCTAATATTGCATGGCCATTTTCCACGCAGTGTTGCCATCTTTTGATTTTCAAAAAGCACCAAAAAAGCGTTTTACCACACTTAAAGCACCAAATTTTTTTGAATCAAGGGATGCTTTTTTCATAACATAATACCGAAGTACTGCACATTAAAACTGGTATATCTCGAGAAAGAAAAATCGAATCGCAACAAACGAAAATGATGCCCTAATTAGAAATGAGCAAATAATTTGATGTTTTTATTATATAACCTCAAATATCGCTAAAAACCGTGTTTTTGGCACTTTGAGGTTAGGATATCTCAAAATTCTAGTGCTAGAGCAATTGTGAGGCCAGATTTGGATTCAGCACCAAGAAACGATGTGTTTTACTCAGGTGGTAAAAAAAAAACAAAATTTGTACAAATTAGAAAAGAAAAAAAGAAATACTTAACTTACTTGCGTACTAGCATTTTCAACGCGAATAGAATTTAACAAGGTGGGTTTGCAACTTCAGCTTTTTATCAATCATGGTTGTATTTTAGTCCATTTAAATTTGTAGATTCTTGTCAATTCAGTGCTGCCACAGCTTTAAATATTTCAAATTATTTCAGATTTTAACTATCTCGAAGTAATTTAAGTTCAGAAAAAAAGCACTAAAAAATAATTTTTTTGGCGTTTTAATTTTCAAAAAGCACTAAATCTAGTGCTTAAAGCACCAAGTTGGCAACTATGATTCCACGTTATTTAAAAATTGCTCACGTCGATTAGTGCATACAAATGCTGCACAAACACTAGCATGCGGCATGCCATGTCCAACGGTTAAGCGTATGAAAAAGTTTATGAATCATGCCGAAGGTTATGTTAAAAACCAATAAGACCATTTTACCGACAAAATTTGTTTCATTCTTAGGTATTCTAAGGACTTTTTAAATGAGTCTCGTAAAACGGATTTTTTTTTTGTATGAAAGAAAAATGATCGCAAATTACAACGAAACTTCACCAAATTGGCCGCTTACATCAAATCATTTGCCGAATTCACTGCATTCGAAAAATCAGAGGCAGTGACGAAGACAATGAGACAAGTGTACATAAGTATATTGGTAAAATAGTGTAAATGTACCAAGTTAGCATTTGTTTGAGACATTCTGCATACGTGAATTTTTTGCATGTAGGTGGTTGAAAAAAAAAAATAAACACCAAATGAACTAAAATTAGACGAAGGTCTTTTTATATATTTCTCCCATTTATTACACATGCAGTTGAATATTCATTGTGTATATGCAATATTGATTGTAATGTAATCATAGGTGTCTTTTTTTTAATGGAATAATCGTAATTAGTATTGACAAATACTTTCAAACACATAAAAAGATTGTTTTGCGTTTTGATTTGATATTATTTGAATAACTATTGATTAAGTGGACATTGAGAGTTGATATTTCGAATATGTATGCAGTAAAGTGATATATGTATTTATATATTGGTGTAGTCTGATATAATGGATTTCTATTTATTAAAATATGCAAATGTAGCTATTTATTTCTTTGCTGTATGTAGCACAGTATGATTGGAGTCTATTGTAAATATCGAGCGATAAAAATGTATGGTTTCAAACTTTCTTTTTTTTTTGTGCTCTACAACATATTTCACAATGCTGTGTGCGCAGTGTCAATAACAGTGCCGGTTTTAGCCCCTGCCTTTTTTTTATATATATTTTACTTGCCTCTTAAAAATTTTGTAATCTTATTTCAGCATAACATTTTTTACCTTTTGCTTGTTAGTGTTCGGGAGCTTCATTTCGCAAGTTATTTAATGACAAAATACATGTAGTTGATTTATCGGCGTTCCAATTGGTAAATCTCAAGTTTTGAAATGACACAAAAATACCCCGAAACACGTGAACTTAATATAGGATCGAAGATAACGGATCTACTATATACCGTTTTTCTAGATAAGGTAATTTTCCGCCAAGATATTTTCATTTTTATGGAAAAAAAATTAATTAAAGAAAATCTAACTGAAAAAATTAAAGTCTGTTCTTTTGCAAAAAATTAAAACTCCTAATGATGAAAATAGATGGATAAATAAACAAGTTGTGAATCTTCATATGAAAATGTGGAATAATTTTTTGTATGAAATAGGGCACAGGAAATAATGTTACTTATACGCCATATCGTACATGGCTGTACTTGTGCATAACCGTATATGGCGTATGAGTAACATTTTCCCTGTTAAAATTTGAATTTTTTCATCCGCAATGCAAACTTAAAATGTAAATATCTTGGGGAAAATTACCTGATTGGGAAATTCACCTGTTTTGGGGGTTTTTGGTGTCATTTTAGCGGCCCTACAGTGTTGCTGAAGCAGTTTATTGAAGTGACATACTGTTCACATAGTACCTGATATTTTCTATTTAACAGACCTATAACTGAGACACTATCAAATAATTTTCGTCGCTTTTTAAGGTTAATTTATAACCGCTATCTCAGGATTCAACATAACCAGAGCCCGAATCACGGCTTCTAAGTTGAATAAAACTCATTTTGAGATTATTTTATTTCATTTGATTCTAACAGCGAATTTCACGAAAGCAATTTAAGTGAAAAATGATTTTAATTTTATGAATTTAATATGGAAATTGACAGAAAATAAAAAATCATTTTCCATTTAAATTGCTCGTGAAACCGGCTGTAAAGGAGCAATCATTCGATCGCGTATACCATGATTCGGGCCGTGATCGACTTGAGGAAACCCGGCCAGTATCAATACCCCAGCACACTCCGATATCTGTGAGCAACGTCCTCTTCCAACAACCTAAAGGAACCTTTTAATCACTTCCAAAGCCCCGTAATCAATCACCTGATTTGGCTCCGTGTGAATTCTTACTGTTCCTATGTCTGCGATGTTAATGAAATTTAGTTTTTGAATTTATGGGGTCACCTGGACAGGTATATGCTTAAGTTATACCCGGTAGGTGGCGCCGATGTTAAAATATTTGAAAATTTGGTATTTGTAGTCCGATTTGCCTTATTGCGTAAACGTACACTAAAGTAAACAACAATTGTATAAAAATTTATCCGATAGGTGGCGCTGGAATCGATATATTATATAAACACATGTGGATATTAGCCAAGGTAATGCTGCTAGTTTCCTTCATAAATGGCGGGGCTTCGGTATATTGAGAAAAAAGGCATCAAGACTCAATTTCGGCCTTAATTAAAACATTTGTGGTTTTGACGAAATATTCATCTACCAAATATACGTCTACCAAAGGCGTAACAAAAAGACTTGGTATCATTTTATATTTTTCTTTTACGAAAAGTGTTTATATTTCCACAATAATATATTAAATTACAAACTACAAATTTAACCGTAATTTATTTACTCTACTTTGTTATGTATGTAAGGGTTAAGGGAAGGAAACAATTCGTCGCCTGGGTAAAAGATTGTCGTGTGTTACACACGTACGTATGATGCTTACGACAATCTTTTACCCAGGCGACGAAATATTAATGTTTGCTTTTTTGATTTCTCTCACAAAAAAGGGGAAAACTGCCCAGAAGAACGGGAACGCAAAAAACCCATTTCGTGCCGAAACTAAATGTAAAAGGATTAAATTAGTTGCACAAATGATCCAGAAAAATTATATGAAAAATGCGTATTTTTCACTTTTCTTCTTCTGGCAATTTAACAAACTCGCCCGCAAACAAAGTTCGAGCGATCTCAGGCTAATTTGAGACACAAATTACTCTCTCAAACAGCCCGACAGCCGGCAAAACAGAAACAGCCGGCGACGTGGAAAAAACAGACCCAATGAATAATTTGTCAATGTCGCGTAATCTTCGAACTGAGGAATTCTTACATACATATGCTTACTAATCGGATTATTTTTAGCCCGAGTACTATTCTCTGATTGACGCTTACGTCCAACACATTTGCTTCATATGTTGTAGAGCGCAAAATCGGTGATTTGTTATCGTTATGTGGTTATTATGTATTGTAATGCAAGTTTATTACTCAAATGTTACATTTAAATTATTTGACAATAAAGAAAATGTTTTTAATAGTTTGGTTCTGTATTTTGATGCTGTTTATAACTAAACATATTCATACATATAATTTTGCATATTTTTATGTGAGAATGAAATTAAATTTTAAAATTAAATAGTACGCAAAGAATATGTATTTTAAAAAATAACATAAACACAAAATTAAAAGTGTAAGTTGTATTAATTGTTTGTTGCGTTGCTGCCAGTTGAGCTGGACAATTGCCCAGGTACGGAGAATTGTGGTCTGAATGAAGCGAAATTTCCTGCTGGGCCACCAGCGAAAGCGGGCAAGGTGGTGCCTTGGAAACCGGCTGGAAACTGCGCCATTAGTTGGGCTGTAAGGAAAACGAAATACATATTTAAGTTAAACAAAAAAATAAACAAAATACAAAACACAAAATTACATACCCGCATTAGATGTATTGCCCGCTGTGGCAGCCAAGCGCGAGAGTATCGAGCGCTCAGACATCTGCAGGCGTTGCGCCACGGGTGGTATGCGCGCCAATGTGGCAGGTAGACGCGAAACATCGCTCTTCATATCGGACAGCAGCTCCTCCAACTGATTGAGCACTTTGTGCAGCACAGCGTTGGCTGGCTTATTGCCGGCCAGCGATTCCTTGCTCAAGTGCTGATGCGACTCGGCGAGACATTCGACTTCAGCGAAGCGTGCATTTAGCGACATTGCCGGATGATTTGGATCTTGTGTCAAATTAAGGAATGCTGCGCGTCGCAATTGCTCCTCAATAACCAATGCCTGCTCGAGCAGTTTAAAGCGACGCGCCAAAAATTTATTCTTTATCTCCAAGAAGTTTCCTTTACCAACATCCATTTTGAAAGGTTCATTGATGATAGCAAAGCGTATGTCGTTTTGTATGTCTTGCCAGCGGCCGTAACCATGTGTGACAATGCCCGCCAGCAGCCAATAGTCGTGGCGGCGATGCCAAATTTCATACTCACGCCCTGGCACGGCGGCCTTCTCCTCGTTCAGCCAGAGAGTGTGTAACTCGGTGAAGCCACCATCGGCGATGTTGAACATAAATTTGCGTTTTAACACTTCGAGACTCTCTTCGATCTTCGGTTTTTGTTCCTTACCATTAGCGCCAGTGGTGCCAAGCGAGCCACTCGATGTGTTGGCCGATGTGGTGGGTTTCTCCAATTCACCATCTTCTTTGACGATCATCACGTCGTCATCGTCGTCGTCGATAATTGTCGTGGTAGGCTCTTCTTTAGGCTTCTGTTCTGGCTTACTTTCGTCCTTTACGGCATTGGTTGCATCTTTCTTGGAGTCTTTAGCGTCTTTAGATGAGCCACCGTCGCCGTCGTCTTCCTTCTTTAATTCACTGCCGCCACCTTCGGTGGTCTCCATTTTGACATCTTTTCCAAGCTCGCCATCAGTTTTATCTTTTTCTTCGCTCTTCTCGCTTTTCACATCACCGCTCGATGACGAGACCTCAACCTTCTGTTCATCTTTTGTCTCACTACTCAATTCAGATTTCTGCTCGTTAGCATCGCCACTTAAAGCATTGCCGGACTCGTTTTCTTTTTTAATATCATCACTCGCCGCCTTGTCTTCGCCCTTTTCCGATGCTGGTGCGGGGCTTGGCGCAGCACTCGTAGCCGGTGTGGCGCTAGTGCTCGTCGTAGCGCTCTTGTCTTCAGTTAGCTTTGCACCTTCAGCCTCTCCACCCGCTGCAACTGGCTGCCCATCAATCAGCTTCGGCAGGCCACTGATTTGACCGCGCACAGGCTCACACGGCTTCAGTATTAGCTCGGGCATGCTGTAGTAGCCGTTGATGTGTTCAAATTCCTGCACTTTCTTGCGTATCAACGACATGACGCCAATGCGTGTCAACACATGTTGACGTGATAAACCTTCACGCGGCACGCCATCAGCAAACGCCTCAGCGTTATCTGCGCCCGGCTCGCATAGATGACGCATAAAGAGCGACACATAAGCCTTGAAGTTGCGCTCGGATTTTCCGCGCAAATCTCGCACCAGCCACTGTGAGTTGAATGCATCCTGTGGCGGCATGCCAAAGCGCATAATTGCGTTTAAGAAACTCTTTCGTTGACGCGCATTGAAACCCAGCACTTCAATGTTGCCGCCGACACGTGCCAACAAGGGCGGCAATGGACGGTCGTCGCGGCGTTCCACGCGACGCTTGGCTTTGCGGCCGTCTACAGCGCCATTCTGCTCATCGAAATCGTCATCGCCGCCATCCTCTTCTGAGCCGGCCGAATAATCGGAATTGTATTCGGAAGTATTATCTTGCCAATTGCCATCGTCGCGTGTTGTATCCGCTGGCACAACGCCACCATCGGTATAGTTGACCTGCTTGCGCACACGCTTACCTTTGCCGAGTGTGCGGCTGACATCTTCTTGATGCTGCTCGTAGTGGTGGCGCAACAGCTTTACCCAATATGCCGGATCGGAGTTTTCGGCTTCCTGTTTAATGATTTCCGTCTCCTCTTCCTCATCCTCTTCTTTGGTGGCATACGAGGCCACCTTAAATGACGACAAATACTCATTAGCCCACGACTCCTTCTCTTCAATACCACGATTCGAGCGATCAAGCAACTCAGCCACAGCCCTGTCATCGTAATGAATTGCCTCTTCCTTATCGCCATCTTCTTTGAACAGCTCCTCCGTACCGAAACGTAGAATATCATCCAATTCTTGCTTAGTGAAGTTCGCGCCTTTACCGCCCATGCCAGGTCGCACCACCAAGTGGGTCAACATCATCTTACGCTTGGCCACCTGTGTAACACGCTCCTCCACTGAGTTACGCGTCACAAACCGATATATCATAACTTTGTTCGCCTGGCCAATACGATGAGCGCGTGAAAATGCCTGAATGTCGTTGTGTGGATTCCAATCTGAGTCATAAATGATGACCGTGTCAGCTGTAGCCAAGTTAATACCCAAACCACCGGCGCGTGTACTGAGCAAGAAAACGAATTGTTGTGCGCCGGGCGCATTGAAACGATCGATAGCCTCCTGACGCAAGCTGCCTGTAATACCACCATCAATGCGCTCATACTTGTAACCCTCGCCTTCGAGGAAATCTTCGAGTATGTCTAACATCTTGGTCATCTGCGAAAAGATTAGCACACGATGTCCTTGCTCTTTCAGCTGCTTCAGCATCTTACAGAGTAAAACCAACTTGCCCGCGGCCTTGGTTAGCGCATTTATCTCGTACATGCCACCCAAAGTGGTGGGCGCCTCCTCAGCGGCCGAGGGGAATAAGTAGGGATGGTTGCAGCATTTCTTCAGATCCATCATGACGTTGATCAGCGAGCAGGAATTGCCACCGCTCTTCGAGTTTAGTGCCTCGTAGTTTTTGGTTAAAATGAATTTGTAGAACTTCTTCTGCATAGCCGAAAGTTCCACACGTACAATGAATTCCGATTTCGAGGGCATATTCTTTAGCACATCGGCTTTGAGACGACGCAGCATGTGTGGTCCGAGCATTTCGTGCAAACGCTTAACCTGTTCCTCTTTCGACACATCGGCAAATTCATTCTGGAAAGCATTCAAGTCGCTAAATTTGTCTCGACTAAGGAAGTTCAGCAGATGGAACAATTCCTCCAAATTATTTTGCAATGGTGTACCGGTCAGCAGCATTCTGTAAGCGATGTTGTAGCTATTCAATATGCGGAAGAATTTGCTTTGATTACTCTTTAAGCGATGCGCCTCATCCACGACCAGCACCGCCCAGTCAATGGAGCCCAAGCAAGCCGCGTCCATGGAAATTAGTTCGTAGCTGGTCAGCAGTACGTTAAATTTGAATTGCGTGGTGCGCAGGCGCGAAGCTTTGCCGCCACGTATGGCGCCCTCTTCGAAGGATAACTCATTTTCGCGTATAACTGCACGCGAATCCTTGTCGCCCACATACGTTATACAATAAAAATCTGGTGCCCACAACTCGAATTCACGCTCCCAATTAATGATGGTGGAGAGTGGTACAGCAACCAGGAAGGGACCTTTGCAGTGACCCTCTTTATACAGCGAATATAAGAAAGTGACCGTTTGTATGGTCTTTCCAAGACCCATCTCATCGGCCAATATGGTATCGATGCCTTGACCCCAAGAGTAACGCAACCAGTTGATGCCTTCGATCTGGTATGGATGCAGCTGCATCCCAGTTTCATCCAAGAATTGTGGTTGGCCTTCGTATTTTTTCTTCAAGTCGGTAGTTGGTTTATCTGGTGGTGGCGTATAGCGTCGCTGACCGCGATCTTCATCCTCAATTTCCTTTACCTTTGATCTGCGCCCCTTTTTACCCTTTTTGCCGACGCGGGATGTTGTCGACTCTGAAGTGCAGGCCGCACGTAAGTCCTGATAGTAATCAATGGCTTGCTTCAGCCCAGGTATATCATCGGTTTCATCCTCCCACGTCGACTTGTCGTAAGGCAAATCGCGCCACTTCACCAAATACATCGTGGTGCCATCGCGTGCTGTGCGGTGATTAATAACGCGCTGCACAATCAGCCACTCTGGCTTTACACCATTGCGGTAGAAGCGGTCTTCCAGGTCCTTCTTGTACTCTTCATTCTCATCCTCGACCTGTATGCCGCCCTTGGCCTTGTGACGCTGAATACGTTGATAACGCGAATCTGCCTCGTCCAGTGACTCTTCGAACTTTGGCGGCTCCTCCATATCGTATTTACGTTGGAATGAACGTATCATAAGCGGGTGGTGCACATCCATTTGCACTTCGGATACCCATTCGCAATGCCAATAGGACATGTTGTGCCATTTTACAAAGTATTCGCGCATGCGCGCCTTCGGCTTTTTGGAAGTTGAAGGCTCATTCGATTCAACCCAACGCCATGTGATAATTTTCTCAGCCTTGCCCGAGAGTGGCGGACAACTGCAACGTGGACATTTCCAATCGCCATCTGGTATGGTGTCTAAGGGTGGATTGAGACAGAAAGTGTGGTAGGCTGAGGGACACGAATCACAGCACAGCAGTTCGCCGCCATCCTTGCATACGCGACAAAATTCCTGATGCTCATCGTCGTCTTCCTCTTCGGCAGCGCCACCATCAGCCTCACAATGCGGGCACGACCATTTACCCTCGGGTGCTTCATCCAATTCGGGTTCCAAGCAAACCAAATGATAAGCGCGCGGACATGTATCGCAAAGTATAATTTCGCCACCCTGCTGGCAAACTTCACAGTAATCTTGGTGTTCGTGCTCACCCTCCTCGCCATCAGGAAAACGGCTGGTGGTCTTTAGCTTCTTCTTCTTCTTAAACTTATTACCTATCTTTGTTTTGGCTTTCTTGCGCACAACTGGTGCAGCGTCCTCGGTAGTTGCTTCTACTTTATCGGCAGGTGTAGCAGATTCTCTCTCATCGGCACTATCATCGGATTTTTGTAGCATTTTCTCGAATTCCAAATCAGAATCACGCTCTGAAGCGCCGCTAGCATCCTGATCTTCATCGGAACTACCACGTTTACGTTTGCCAAACTTAATTTTCAATGTTGGTACTTTGCCGGAACGTCGACCTTTTTTGCTGCTCGAACGACCGCCACGTTTGCGGCGCGAACGTGAAGTTTCCTTTTCCTCCTCCTCGTCTTCGTCCTCTTCTTCTTCCTCATATATATCATCAGGCTAATTAGAGGTAAAAGGATACACATACATATATACATACATACATACACATATATTTTTGAATATTAAAAATATTGGCATTTACTATTATTCACTTAAACTAGGGATATGAAATGAGCCAAACTGTTTGCCCTCATTTTTGTAAATTTATTCTAAATAATGGTTTCAAAAGATGAAAATTTTCCTTTCTAAATTTTGCTGTGGTATAAGCATGTTTTAAGCAATTGATTCTGAAGACTGAAACTAAGCGGCATAGGTACCCACTTAATCGAAACGAAAATCTCTTCATATTTGACAGCTTCGCCCAATTGCTTTTTTCGATCTTCCCTTTTTCTTATCTCGTTACTGCACCACTAGTTTCGAGATTGCGACATGAGTTTTTTGAGGTTAGGTAAAACTAATTGATTATGCCGTTATCATTTCCAATTGGCCGGTTACCAAGGCAAAACACATTTACGGTGTTTGGAACAAAAAATGTTGATAAAAAATTAATGTGTTTCATCGTGAACGAATGGAATTGAACTTTCGCTAACATTTAAAAAAAAAAAACAATAAAAATTTAACAATTTTGGTTACGGTAAAATAAATTCTGAGAGCAAAAATTTAGTCGCGGTTAAGAAATCCGTTATTAGTAAGTTGCCTAACTCGACATCTGACCTTTAGTTATACACAGAGAAACCCTTGCGCACTTTCCAATACTGCATTTTGACATTTTCAAATTCCAAATTAAATACTGCTTAATGGTTTATCTACATATCGCACACCGAAAAACTATTTCTTAGCACATGATAATGATCATATGGGCAAGGGCGACTTTACCTTAGGTTTAACAAATTATAACAAAAAATTGCTCCAGATTTTGCTGAAAGGTGAATAAAAAAGGTTAATCAAAAACGCCAAATTTTCGAGTTGTGACTCTTTTTTTTTAAAGACGGTGTGCGATATGTGCATACATTTGCACGTACATACATATGTATGTACATATATCATTTCACTTACCTTCTCATTGCGTGATGACCGCGATGAACGTGGCTCCTCAGCCTCCTCGCCACCTGTACTGCGCCCCTGCTCCGATTGCAAATTCGGATTTACTTCGCAAAATTCACGCCACTTGGCTGCGACTAACATCATTAGCTTGGGCGCTGGTATTTTGGGGTTTTCCTTTTGTAATATAGGACGAACATGTTGTGTAAATGATTTGTACGATATTAAATTTTGCATATCTGTTTCGGTGTAATCAATTTCAACATCGGTGACATTGAAGGCAGAGCAAACGTCCTCGACAGATGGCATGCCTTTGATATGGAAGAAAACAATAAAAACAAACAGTCCTTAGTAAATTTGGTTTAGAACTAAATAATTGGTGTAATCGATGGTTCTGACGCTATTTATGGGCGCTGAAAAAGTGATGCTTAATTGGTCAAATGTTTTTGTTTGATCACAGGACAAATAAATGGTCACGACAAACAACTAATTTTTAGCAAAAAAAAACCGACTTAAATATATATATATATGTATATTCCATGATCCAATGATCGGATCTAAACCATATAACCAGATGAGTATTGGACCACCTCTGAGACACTACCTTTCCGATGCAAGAGGTAACATACACAAAAAAAAAATAAATAAAAAATCCGACGAACTGATAACCTCCTCCTTTTTGGAAGTCGATGAAAAAACACAGGCAAACTGATCACAGGACATTTGAAAAATGATAACAGGATAATTAGATCATACGGAAAATACATAATAATAAATTGTCGGAATTTCAGTATATTAAGTATATAGAACTACCATAAAACACTATGAGCGAAGATAATTCAAAATATCGGCCCCTTCATCCCACGCCGACACCACTGCGTAGATGTGAGCATTATAATCACAATATTTCTTACAATTTCGAGTTGCAACGAGACGATCAGAATTGAAGTGCTTCCAACTCAGCTCCGACGATGCTTGCTCAAATTTTAAAGCATTGGCTCATTACATTATGGGGGCGCTATAATGATACACAACACGTCCACACACGTAAACTTATTTTTGAGTCGTAGATTACGGATTCGTATATCGTTTTTCTAGATCTGGTAATTTTCCTGACACAATTCATGTATCAAATTAAAGTGCTCGATCTGAAACTTTGCACGAACATTTCAGATTTAAAAATCATTGGAAATATTTGCATGGAAAATTTTTTAAAGTCTTCCATTGAACACAGCATTGCCACGTTCATTTCAACAGGCAGCATTTTTGGCACTTTCATTCACAGAGGTTCTATTGGCACAATTCATCCTGTTTTGGCACAATCATAAAATATAGAAATTTAAAATTAATCATTAAATAAAAGTGCAAGTTTCTGCAATATCCCGAGGATTTTTGATTTTTTTTCAGACGGTGTCATACATTTTAATCCACTTAAAAAATTTTCGAACACACTTTATATGGGAAAAAAATACATAAAATCGAAACTTGGATTCCTCCTAAAAATTCTGAAATTCAAAGTTTGAAATGCCGGTTTGTGTACATATGTACATATATTGTGTTTATTAAATTATGAGTTAGACTTTTATATAAAATCAATCCAAAAAGAAGTAAGAAAGTCAAAGTTCGAGCAGAGCCGAACATTAAATACCCGGCGCAATTATTAAGTTTGAAGTTTCAAACATTTCTGAAATTTGCAGTTATATGAAAAGCGGCCGTAAATTTAGTCCGATTTCAATAATTTTCAACATTTTGCTTCTATGTGGCAAGCACAATAACCAAAGCGCACAATGGCACAAATTGGTAGAACGATTACGGAGATACATACATATATGTTGTCATAAGTGAGCGGTGCCACACCCATTTTCCAAAATTTTATTATAAACGCATTTCTTGGTAAAGAATTGTTGCAAGCATCAATTTTGTATAAATTAGCTTTAATATTTACTCATTTATCGAAGATTTTGTATTTCTCTAAATTACCGTTATATGAGATGTGGGCATGGTTATTGACCGATTTTAAAAATTTTCGGCCATTTAACCGCAAGTGGGCGTGGCTATGCTCATTTTCCAAGAATTTATAACATTCCTATTTTTCGTCTAAAACTTATTGTAAATGTATATTTTGAGTGAATAATCTTCAGTAGTTAGTAAAATATCGCAGTTTTCGTATTTCTGAAAATTATCGTTATATGGGAGGTAGGCGTGGTTATTGTCCGAGTTTGCCAATTTTCAATTTCATCCGTCCTACGCCCGAAAGAAGTGCACGTACCAAGTTTCGTTCATGAGCACAGGCGGACGGACATACACAGTCACCGCTAAATCGATTTCTCTTTTAATTCTGATCATTTATGTATACATTTTCCTATATCTATCTCGATTCGTTTTGTCTGTTACAAACAAGCGTTATGTAAACAAAGTTATAATACCCTTGTGCACAAGTGCGCTCGGGTATGATAATCAATGAAAAGAATAGGCGAAACTGGTCAAAATGCCTCATTGCCATTATTTCGCATATAAGTATATACATACGTATGTAAAAATTTCAGAATAGTTACATTTCGGTGTATTTCCCGTCCGTAATTGGAATTCTGTGTAATTTTACTATGAATTTATGTATACATATATCTAAGGAATCCCTCATAAAAGCGATTTACTGTAATAATTTAGTTAATTAATAATTATTATATTACTTCAGTGTATTTTAAAAATATTATTTCTAAAAATATATTACGTTTAAAACACCTTAAAAGAAATTTAATTTGGTGGTACTTTCATCTTGTTTTCGGCACTATTTTTGAAGACCATTAGGTACATTTTGAAATTCCATCCCTGATATAGAGTGAAAAGGGACTTCCACGTTAACACCTCGAATGGGTGTTTTCGGAGCGTTTCGAATATGAAGTGCGAAGGGAGTCAAAGTCAGTGAATTAAAAAAGAAATGTTGAATCGAGAATAAACTGATCGTCGTGAAAAGGGACACCGCATAAAAAGCTGTTGACCTTATGCCAGTTGCAAATGCATTTAGAGGTAAACAATAATGCATTAAAAATACTCTAATATAGTAAAACTACGTTTTTAGTTTTTCTCTCTGACGTCTGAGAATAAAAAAATTATTCAAAAGATTTGGTGCATTGTAAAATAAACATATGGGTATCAATTAAAAGGAACAATTTTGTAAACAAATTTATGTTTTGGGTCCATCAGAACGAATAAGTATTAAAATGTCATTTTAAAAGTTTATCCTTGAATATCCTTGGAAATTTCCAATATTTATTTTTGAAAAAAATATATGTCAAGGACTAATAAGTTAACTACCCCCATCCTCGAATTTCGCCCTTCCAACTTAATTAGTTAGTTAGTTAGATACAGGCCCCTATTATGAGTTGCATTCGATTTTCGACTGTGGTCGAAAGTGCTGATCGAACGAATTTTCATTTGGTATTATGGAGCTCATTCGATGAACAATATCGCTATTGTGAATTTCGCTCGTTTAGGTTGTTCACAATAGTATAAATAGTGTGCTTATATGTACATATGTAAATTTGTGCAAAATAAAATGAAATAAAAAAGAAAGCGAGTATATAAAAACGTGGTAAAAAAAATTTTAATTAGTACTACGGAGTTCTGGTTGAACGATTCGTCAGAGGATGAGAGCTTAGAAAACTGGCCGGGAGCAAAAAACGGTTAAGAGATTTAAGTGCAGTCTTTCGAATATATTTTGACATACAATATATTTAAATTAATAAAAAATTGTTTAAAATTAGTGTCTAGCCGCCAAAAAGTAAGAAAGCACATGCAAAATCATTTATTTTTCACAGGCAGGAGTCTATATAGAGGGAA